GATTCCACAATTCATTAATATATTCAGCAAACACTTAATTTGTGATTAAGGGTCTGAGTTAGCCACCAGATAAACAAAGATGAATAATAAAAATGTTTCTGCCCCAAAGAAGCTTTAGTGGCAGAGAGAGAAATGCACATACACACAAACACACATACACACTCACACACTCACATTGACAATAAAGAGTGATGACTAGAAAAATAATTATGCAAATAAAGAGAATTGTATAAAGTTAAGAATAAACTAAACAACATTACTCATCTCTAAGAAAAGTAAAATTAGATAATTATTTAAAAAAAAGAACAAGTTGCTTTATCTCTATTTCAGCAACATAATTACTGAATCAAAACTGCCTATTAAACTGTTAACCAACAGCTTAATAAAGAAGATGTGCTTTCATGTGTGATTTTATTCATGGAACCTATCATTGTTTAGTGATTATAATATTTCCCATTGAGATGACAAAAGCTATGTTCACTACCTATTACTAATGCACAGGCTGATTGTATTTGTTAAACTCCTATGAATCAATTACCATAATAATTAAAGCTTTTTTTTTTTTTTTTTAATTGCTTAACTCAGATAATGACTTCCAAGCATTTAGCTTTCAAGTTAATGATTGGATGATGAGAATAATATATAAGATTTTTTTGCAATGAACTGTATTAATATGCCACTACCTTTGAAATACATCAGAATCACATGTATGTTGTATATTAATACAAAAAATAGAGTAACTGTGTCTATGTACTATGTACTGTGTTAGTTTGTTCTCATGCTGTTAATAAAGAGATACCCAAGACTAGCTAACTTAAAAAGAAACAGAGGTTTAATGAACTCACAGTTCTATGTGTCTGGGGAGGCCTCACAATCACAGCAGAAAATGAAAGGCATATCTTACATGGCAGCAGGCAAGAAAGAATGAGAGTCAGGAGAAACGGGAAACTCCTTATAAAACCATCAGATCTTGTGAGACTTATTTACTATAATGGAGGAAACCACCCCTATCATTCAATTATCTCCCACTGGGTCCCTCCCACAACACGTGGGTATTATGGGAGCTACAATTCAAGATGAGATTTGGGTGGAAACACAGCCAAACCATATCAGTACTAGACTATGCCTGTCTAAACACAGAACTAAAAAGGCCGTTTTGAAACCAAAATTCAAAATAATCTTTGTAGTGCCTGATTCTTAATGATCAGTAGGGGTGAATAATTTTGACATGGGAAATTTGTCTATAGCAATCAAGAAACAAATATAGATTCAACTCAACTGTTTTGAACCTGTTATAACACGTTTGTGTGGTCTTTGCAGTCTAAAAAACACATTCACATCTTTTTCTTCATTAGAGCACATAGCAATTCTCTGAAATAGATGTTATTTTCATGCTTACCTTTTAGAGAAGAAAACCACAATTAATAGGACTAGTAATTAGCAGAAGTATGGATCTCAAACCCTATATCCTTCCTGATACCTTACCTCTTCATGTGCAAGGCATTCAGTGAGGGCTACAGAGCACAACAAAATGTTTTGACAACTGGCTTGTATTGTGCTTTTCAGTTTACAAAAGATGGACCTCTATATCATCCCCTTTTAGTGTGACAACGATCTTCTGAGGCAATAGCTCCAATTTCCAGGAAGCTTAAACACTAATGAAAAGATAAGAAAATAGAACTAACTATAAGACAGCATTTGATCAGGGCCTTGGTTGATCAAAGAGGGAAAGATTACATTCAGCTAGGAAGATCAGGAAAGTCAGCTTTCCTGATACAAGCTGAAACAAATTGATATATGAAACCAGATGAGGACTATGCATCTTTAAAGTCGGGTCCTACAGGGGTCCTTTGAAAATCTGCTATGCTTCCTTGGCCAGAGATCTTCTAGAGAAAAAAATATATATATATGTGTGTGTGTGTAATATAAATAAATTATATATATTATATATAAATATTATATATATATATCACACACACGTATATGTTACTTTCAAAATCAAAACATAAGCATTCTCAAAAACCAAATGTTTCTGGAATCATTAGAGAAGAAATGGATATGACTAGGCCAATTGAATTCCTCATATTTGTCAGTCTTAAGCAAAAGTCCATTTATGTGTTGTAACAAAAAGATAAACACAATGACCTAACATTGAGAACGTTTGGTTTTAAAAAAGTTATAAGATTCAAAGCATTTTTCACTGCGTAGAATTCTAAGAATCCCAAATTTCTATTTCTTCCTCTTTCTTGAGGTACCAGCACCAGGTCTTGAAAGCTAGGGCATTTCAAACAAGCGGAATGGTGACATACAGTGGCAAGAGGTGAGGGGTTTCGACGATATGTACAAAAACCTTTTTTAGGAGGAAGAGTGGGGGCCAAAACCAGAGTAGCCACCTCCATTGTGCAGTCAAAGGATCAGTGATAGGAGAGGCAACAGAATAGAACAAGAGATGTGATTATTGGGAGAGGACTCAAAACTGTCCAGTGCTCGAGCTAGTCGACCTATCACATCGTTTTCTCAGTGGAGCCTACTCACAGATGTGTGTGTGGGTTGACCTAGGTTGCAGATCTAGAATTGTAGAGCACAATGAATGATATCTGGAAAGAAAATGAGAATAAAACCTAGAAATATTCAGTAAGAGTAAAATTGAGAGGGTTTTTGGTCTTTCCTGCCTTGTTTACCTTCCTTTTAATTCAGACAACTGAGTCTTCTCTAGATTAAACAGATTTTTTTTCTTTAACTTACTTTTACCTTCTTAAATTGGATAATTTTCTGTATTTAGAAAAAATCTTGGTTATATTTTACAATAACCACTTTATAGTCTTCACAGGACTTTCTGTGCTAAATGTTATATAGACATTAGGAAAAATGGGAAGAATTTATATACCATACTTCCTTCCATCAGTACATCTGTATATGCATATCAAGATAAAAAGTACAGTTTTAAAAGCAGAGTTCACATCCTTACTGCACTAGTAATATTGTTAAATGGAGAAATTTGAACCAATAAGTTGATTTTAAAAACATCAAGACGTGTATAGCTTGTGTCTATTTATATGAAGTAAATGTCTTTCTCTTAATGAAAAGGAGCCTATGTTTTGGTCATTTATGATACCCATAGTCATTATTTGCAGCTTTGGTTTGATCCACCAGCTCCTTTCCTCCTCTGAAACAGAGGCTCAGCCCCATGAGTGTTATTCTCTGATCTGAACAGGCCTCTTGATCTACGCTTACTGTTGTTATTCCTTCAACATATTCACAGTAAGAGCATACCATCTCCCTTTTGTGTCTAATAGAACACATTTATGTAGTCCTTTATAATTTGCAGAACACTTCCCAAATACAAGCTCTGCTAATTCTCACAGTAAAACCCAGAGGTAGGTATAGATGAAGAAAGAATGACTTAATGTGTTTAAATGACCTGACCTGACCAAATGGCTAAAACTTAGACTCAAACTCAGTGTCTATAATTCAGTGGGTAAGTAACAAAGCTAGAGCTAGAATCCTGTCAACTAGAGCTCAGAGTAACTAAACTCTGACAACAGAGGCAAGGCACCACAACCCTCTACTACTGTCTTATTTTCAATAAACTTTATCATTTGGAGAATTAAAATGCAAGAAGGTATAGATACACATTTATTTATAAAATTATTTTAATTGTAAACAATTTCGTGGAAAGAATACCTGCTTATTTGCTTATTTGTACATTATATTTCTATCAGTTTGTTGTTTTACATATCAGTTGTTTGAAAAGTTTCGTGCTGAGACAAAATGTTTATATCAGTGCTCATTTTCCTTTTATCTCACATTATGAAAAAGACCAGAAATGAATACCCTAAAGTTATTTAGCTCTATAAACTACCTTTATTGTAATGAATTATCAAAATTTAGGCTATTTAAAAACTCAGATCAAAGGATAAATTAATAATCTGATTTTTAAAAACCCAGCAAAATTAGTGAAAACAACCAACTTTGGAATAGTCATGAACACATGAGAATAAGGTAGAGAAGGAGGAACATACGACGATCTAATTTATTGGATACCCAACATTTCTTTATATTCACAGGAGATGAATACCACCTGCTAGAGAAAATAATTATGATGCTGTCAGCACACTTTCCATTTGAGCAGGTTTCTGTGAATGGAATGCACAGATCCTGACAACTAGAGGAAATTCTACTAATGTAGAGTGTAGCTTTGTTTGTTGAGCACTTATTATTTGCAAGTCACTATACTAACATTTTGATTCACTACACCAAACCCTGAAAGTGTAGGAAATTGTTGTCCTTATTGCATGGATGAGAAAACTGAGACAAATGGAGGGTTAATCATTTTGACTTTGAACAGCATCACAAAGCTATTAGGTGATGAAGTTCGACTTTGAACCGAGGTTGTCTGACCCCAGAATTTATGTTCTTAACCACTGAAGTTAACCACATCTGTCAACAGAATTTAGACTTTAAATTTCCAGGGTATTGTTCACATAGACATGTTTTTTTGAAAAAAAAAAAAAACATATTTGCTTTTGTACTTTTTTCCTCAGTGAGTTTTTCTTTGTCTTTTTCACTTAGGTTTGAACTTGTCAATGAATTTTCTCCATCCTGCTTCCTTGAGTGAACAATTTCTATGATGAGTCTGATTTTTGCCATTTGTTTTTGCTCTATTTTCCTCTCAGAAAGACCATACTTTTTAGAAAGCACTATATATAAAATAAAGTAGCCAGAAAAATCAATCTGTTTATGTAAATCTTACTAATTTATGTACTACTACCATCTGGATTCCCTAATTTTTGCTAATTCTGTTAAATATGCTTACATGTAAGTGCACATAGAAAACTGTACATGATTGAAAACATTCACTTAAAGCATAATGTTACCTTACCTTCTGTACACCTTTAATAGCATGTAGAGTTTACCCTTTCATGGACTGTTTTTTCATGGTTTATCCAAATGGCTCATGAGCAACCCAAGGTAGTAGTCATTTGCTTTTTCCCCCCCAGAAGCTCAGAAGAAGCAATTGGAAGAGAGTCTAGTGCTGATCCAAGAGGAATGTGTGTCAGAGATTGCAGATCACTCTACAGAGGAGCCTGCTGAAGGAGGGCCAGATGCCGATGGAGAAGAGATGACAGATGGGATAGAGGAGGACTTCGATGAAGATGGGGGTCATGAGCTGGTAGGAACGAAACATTTGGTATTCACACCCTTTGGGTAACAACACTAGCATGTTAGCAACTCATTCATTCTAAAATAAGGATTAAATCATTTGGGGCTTACTTCTCTTATATGCATATATTTAAGGGAACACGAGTATAGTGCTTTGCACATAATAAGTGCTCAATACTTTATTGCTAACTTAAAATAGGAAGGTCTAAATGAAGGAGGAAAATAAATATTATATAAGTGATTAGGTATATTTAAAGTCCGAAGTGAAAGATTCTCTCCAAAATGCTCCATTGCAAAAGGAACCTTGCATTTATGTGATTACAAGTGAACTATATGTGGATATAATATCCTGGTAACAAACTACAATATACTGGAAGATACCTGAGTTACTAACTGATGATAATTATTTATACTATTTTTGTGGCCAACAGTCTTGTCTACAGTGTGCTCCCTAAGATGACACTTTGGTAGATGGCAAGTTCACCATTTTTAATTCCTGTACTGCCTGATAATCAGTTATTATGAGTTGGGAATTTGGCTAAGACCTGCTTCTTTACAAGTTGTATTTTCCTAATATTGTAATCGTTATACTGCTCATTTCCAGACGTCCTTTCCTGCGTAACCACATCACGGACTTGGTAAATGTATGCTGATGAGGATGTTATTTCTCATATTTTATCAAGCATGAAATTAAATATACTATCTCAAAGGACTGAACTAATAAAAATGATATGCGGGCAAGTTTGTGTGTATATGTTGCCAATTTCCAAATATCTATGGACTGATCATATTAAACTTGGCTTATCCCAGGTAAAAATCCAATTCCAGTTTGTTTTAATACTGTACCTTTTGTTATTTAACTCATTTTGTCATGGTGGTTGTTTTATCAAGTTTCAAAGACAGCTGAATTGTATAGATTCTATATTGACTTTTAACATGCCAGCTCTGTTAAAATTCATGGCACCTTTATGATTTTTTGTTTATTTATTTAATTAACTAATTATTTTTGAGACAGAGTCTCACTCTGTCACCCAGGCAGGAGTGCAGTAGCATGATCTTGGCTCACTGCAACCTCCACCCCCCTGATTCAAGCGATTATCCTGCCTCAGCCTCCCAAGTAGCTGGGATTACAGGCACCTGCCACCACATCCAGCTAATTTTTGTAATTTTAAAAGAGATGAGTTTTCCCCATGTTGGCCAGGCTGGTCTTGAACTCCTGACCTCAAGTGATCCACCAACCTCGGCCTCCCAAAGTGCTGGGATTACATGTGTGAGCCACCGTGCTCAGCCAGCACCTTCATTTAAACTTTTCAAATACGAGCTTTTAACAACCACCCCTATTTCTATGAAAGTCTGTATCAGTTTGCAGAACTTAAGCACCTGTTCTGAGGCTGATATTGATTTCAGGAATCTGTTGATTAAAGATTAGAGTGAAGAACAAACAAATGTCCCAGCTTCTCCTTAGGCAGGACTACATGATTCGGCAGGACTCATTCAACAACATGATTTCCTCAACTCATTCTAATCAGACCTCTGCTGTCAGGATTCCACTGTGACTATACTCCTTGAGCTCTCTGGAGGCCTCCATGTTGCCATTTACAATGGTTACTTCTCTGTTCTTATTTTAATTTACTTCTCAGCAGAATTTTGCATAAGCTGACCACTTCCATCTTCTGAGAAATTCTCCTAATTTACCAGTTGCTCATTCTCAGTTTCCCGTACTAGAAATTGTCCCTCCATGCTCCCACTTTAAATATTAGGCTTTGTCATAGGCCATCTTCTCTTTCTACACCCTGTCCCAAGGTGTCTTCATCAAATACTAGAGTGTTAAATATTACTTATAGGCCAAGATTCCTAAATTCACATTGTATCCCTGATCTCTTCATGGGACTCTACAGTCAAATGTTTAGCTGCCTATCACCACACAGATCTCCAATAAACAATTGAAACTTAACAAGGCCAGAAACAGTCTTGATTTTTTCCCAGTCATTTTATTCTTTCCCAGGCTTCCTCATTCTGGTAAACAGCATCACCATTAACATAGTTATAAAAACCAAAGATTAAGATCATCCTTGACCACCACCTTTATCTTTAATTCTACTTCCAACTCACGCCCCCAAAGTTAGTTACAACTCCACGACAAGTACCATGACCCAAGCCACCATCCCTGCTCTTCAGATTTTCCATAATATCTAAACTGGTTTTCTTGCTTCAACTCTTGCCTCATGCAACCCAGTCTCCACAGAAAAAGGGTAAAAATCTTTATAAACTATCTGTCAGATAATGCCATTTCCTTGCTTAAAACCCTACAATGTTTTTCATCCCACATAGAATCAAAATCCCAAAGAGTGTGAATGTAAGTTGTGATGAGATTAGGTGAAGGATGCCAGTAGAGAGAGAGAACTTGGTGAAGAGAAAGATAAAAGTTCCCCAATTCTGAAAGGAAAGGAATCCAGAACACAAGTATATATAACTGAAGACTCCTCCACTGCAAGTGACTATGGTTAGTCTGAGGATGTTGTGGCAGGAGTTTGAGGGAATTCAAGCAGAAACTAAGATAAGTCAGAGAGTGATAACCTCTGGGGAATGAGGAGAGATGGGCACTATCACAGATTTGAGGAGAATGAAAAAGAGATGAAAAGACTCCTATGGAAAACACTAAAGATTACTAATTTAGAAAACATATAAAGATTGGCAGTGTTAGCAGTCAGTTAAGGTTAAAGAAAAAGAATTAATATAGTATTTTGCAAACTTTAAAGTGTATCAGAACTACTTAGAGAACTTTGTAAAAACACAGATTCTTGTGTCCCATTCTGAGAGATTCTGATTTAGTACGCTGAAGGGGGCTCTAGAAATTTGTATTTGTAACACGTTCCTAAATTATACTGATGCTGCTGGTCTGGGGTCACACTTTGAGAACTACTGTTATGAAGTCATCAATCTGCCTTTTCTCCATTGGCTTTTATCAGCCCTTATGGAAGCATGAAGAAAGCAAACATGTTCAGAGTTGCATTTTTGTCAGATAAGTGCAAAAAAACAACAATAAATAAAAGGAGTTGAGGATATTAGTTTAAAAAGAGTGGCTGACTAGATGGGTCACGGAATCTAACCAATGCGGAAGGAAGGGAACATGGTTGGGGCAGGGGGTTAAAAATGAGAAAATAAAGGCACAAAGGGAACAAAAAGCCCCTATATATACCGTTAAGGACCAGAGAAGGAGGAACTAAATGAATAAAAGAAAAACAAAGTTTGTACTTAGGGACCAAGATATTTCAGAGGTGGACAGTTAGAGATGATGAGATGCTCCATGGGAGGGAGTGATAGAAGTGGGATCAGTGCCAAAGTCACAGCAGATGAAGAATTTAAGGAATGAGGGGCTCAGATGCAAGATGAGCCATCTAGATGGACATGAAGTCACTCCAAATATTGGATGAGAAAGTGAAAGAGTAAGACAGTTATCAAAAGGCTGACATGAAAGAGAGGGCATAGCCAATTTCAGTCCCAGATTTGTCATTATCAGTCCCAATTGAACTACCTAACCAAATAACTTCTCCAAGTCTCTCTTGACTTTCTTTTTTACAAAATAGTAAGGCAAAATCAGAAATTTCAAAAACCATTCTGTTTGATTTTTACTCTGGATGCACATGTTTCCTAGGAGCAATATGTCTGAAAGAGCAGGGCTTGACCATACAGTCATGGCAATACATCCAAACCATGGTATCTGGACTATGCTCTAAATATACAGAAAGTAGCTGATTGGAACTGAGCACCTGCCTGGAGGTACTCAGGTTTCCTCCCTCAACCCTGTTATTATCATTGGAGGCTTAGGGAACTAGAGATAAATCCTATCTCTAGTATATCATTTTGTTTCTAAGACTCAGAAAATAATAAATGAGGAAAGGTTTAACACACAGTCCTTGCAATCCAGATTGAAACTAAGGAGTTTCTCCTAGTGATTGGCCAAGAGAAAATTCCTTAGCCTGGTGTTCACTGTTTTCTCCTTTCCAGGCTACTGAACCAAACCATCCTTGGCTCCCAAAAAGTGAAATAAAAACACAAATCTTTTCTTTTTAGATAATAAAGGGCATCATAGATTTGAACAGCAAAGATACAATATAATTAGAGATTTTCTCACAAAGAAGAGCTGGTATCCACATGCCCATTTGGCTGCTCAGGCTGCTCAGAATGTCATTGCAAAAGAATGAACAGGAAATACGAATTGGATCTGAAGTGAAGGAGATTCAACAAAATGAGCTAGTAGGGTAGCTGTAGGTTGTGGGGCCTCTTGTGAGATGGTGAGAAGCCAAAGATAAGAGCACAGACTATCCACATAATGTTTAGTTCTAAATATACACTTAATGAAATTGATTTCCATGAAGCAATTCTTTCAACTAACATTTGGGAATCTATCTTGCATGCACCAGGTGCTACCAAAAATGCAGGGATAACTAAAGTCATTGCTTTATGTATGAAAGGAAATGTTTAAGAGTATGACTCCTTGTCTCAAGTAGCTTAGTGGCTTGTAGAGAAAGGACTGATTTCCTGGCTGGGTGTGGTGGCTTATGCCTGTAATCTTAGCACTTTGGGAGGCTGAGGTGGATGGATCACCTGAGATCAAGAGTTCAGCCTGGCCAACATGGTGAAACCTCATCTCTACTAAAAATACAAAAATTAGCCGGGTATGGTGGCAGGTACCTGTAATCCCAGCAACTCAGAAGGCTGAGGCAGGAGAATCGCTTGGACCCAAGAGACGAGGGTTGCAGTGAGTTGAGATTGTGCCATTGCACTCCAGCCTGCACACAGAGCAAAAACTCTGTCTTTAAAAACAACAACAACAAAAAAAAAAAAAAAAAAAAAAAAAAAAAACAAAAACAGAGAGAGATGACTGATTTCCTCATGCACAAAAACAGAAAAACAAAACAAAAAAACAAGCTTGGACTTTACAATTTATAAGAAGTCAGCCAAGACTAAAAATCTGTGATTCTATAATAATCTATACCTATATATTTC